GATGATTTCATGGTATTTCTTCAGGAACATGAGGAAAACAATGATATGATGGAAGATGACCCAGTTAAATTCCGTCAAGCTATGCAAGGTTCTAACTCTGAAAAGTGGATTGAAGCAATGAAGGAGGAGTATAAGTCCATGAAAGACAACAAGGTTTGGGAACTTGTCCCATTACCAAAAGGTATGAAACTCATTGGTTGTAATTGAATATTTAAGACCAAACGAGATTCTAAAGGTAATGTGAAAAGGTATAAGACTCGTTAAGGGCTATACCCAAAAGGAAGAGATTGACTTTAAAGAGAATTTCTCTCCAATTTCATCGAAAGACTCTTTTAGGACAATCATGGCTTTTGTAGCACATTATGATTTGGAGCTTCATCAAATGGATGTCAAGACGGTGTTTCTCAGTGGCAACATTGATGAGCCAATTTATATGGTACAACCAAAAAATTTTGTACAGGGAGATCCAAAGAATATGGTTTGCAAACTGACAAAATCTATTTATGGACTAAAACAAGCATCTCATCAATGATACTACAAATTTCATCAAGTAATTCTCTCATTTGACTTCGAGATGAATATTATTGATGATTGTGTGTATCACAAGTTTAAGGGGAGCAAGTATATTTTCATAATCTTGTATGTTGATGACATTCTACTTGCCACTAATGATATAGGCATATTGCACAAAATCAAGAAATTTTTATCAAAGAATTTTGAAATGAAAGATCTTGGTGATGCCTCTTTTGTATTAGGAATTCAGATACACCGAGATCGATCTCGAGGTATTTTAGGATTATCACAAAGGAGCTATATCGAAATTTTTTTTTAAAGGTTTGGCATGCATGAATGTAAATCCGGGGATACTCCAGTTGCTAAGGGAGACAAGTTCAGTCTCAATCAGTGCCCAAAGGGGAATTTAGAAATTGAGGAAATGCAAAAGATTCCCTATGCATCAGCTGTAGGGAGTTTGATATATGTCCAAGTATATACACGTCCAGACATAGCATACATAGTCGGGGTTCTAGGCAGATATTTAAGCAATTCAAGAATGGACCATTGGAAAGCAGCAAAAAGGGTCATGAGATATTTAAAGAGAACAAAAGATTATATGTTCAATACAGGAGGTCAGACCAGTTGGAGATCACTAGGTTTTCTGTCTCAGACTTTACAGGATGTTAAAATAGTTTGAAATCCACTTCAGGTTACATTTTCATGTTGGCAGGTGGTGCGGTTTCTTAGCGCAGTGTCAAGCAAACCCTTACAACTTCATATACTATGACAACAGAATTTGTAGCATGCTATGAGACATCAAATCATGAAATATGACTAATAAATTTTGTCACAGGGCTACAAAGTGTGAAAGGCATTGAAATATCACTTAAGTTATATTGTGTCAAACAAATCAGTTGTATTGTATTCCAACATCAATAGGAGTTCGACTAAGTCAAAGCACATCGACATTAAGTTTCTAGTTATTAAGGAAAGAGTACAAAGTAGACAAATTTCCATAGAACAATTAGGGACAACCTCCATAATAGCAGATCCTCTAACTAAAGGACTTCCGCTCAAGGTCTTTCATGAGCATGTTGCTCACATGAGTGTTTTACAGTTTGATGAATTTGTGGTTTAGTGGGAGTTAGTCATTTTTATATATTTTATGTTCTATGTTTAATTTCATGTATGTATACATTGATTTTTTGGACATATTTGGTTATTTATAAATATGTGATTTTTTGTTCATTCATTACACTTTGTACATTAAGGTTATTATATCGATCTCGATAAGTTAAAGTTTGGACCAGTTGAAAATAGACGTGTACAGATCACCTTCACGTAATTTTTCATGCTACACATTTCATGATGAATCCATATCATTTGGTTATGTCAGGATTAGTAATCATTGTTGATTTTAGTTGTGATGATGTAATGAAAAGTTAATTTAGTTCTATATCCTGATATGATCAATGAACGAGACTTTTGGAGTATGCTAAAGGAATATAATGATAATTTTGAGCTCATAAATTCTAACACATTTATAAGGTCGTAAAGGCATATATATTTGTGACCAGTGGGAGATTGTTGGCAAATTTTGGGTCATGTATATATATGATACATAATTTAAATGTGTTAGAACCATTATCTATTAAGCCAAATAATAAAGTGATCTGACTAAATTAAAATTTTGACTAAAGTCATATGTCATGAAAATAAAATTGTGTAGAGATCATAAAGTAATTTCTAATTTGATGAGGGGCCAAATTAGAAATGTTAAAATTTAAGTAATTAACCTAATTCAAGTTATTTAAAGGGTCATGGTCCCCTTCTAGGAGCACACGCACAAAACGTAAGTCTCAGTTCCCGTTCCTTTCTTTCTATCCCCATCAAGAGAGAAAATCCAGAGGAAAAATAAAGGTAATTTTCAGGTGCAAGACCATAAGATCAATAGTGCTCTAAAAGGGACATCATCATTATGACTAATTTAGGTACGCTTTCGCATTCAGTCTACAACATGTTTATGAGTATGAAATAATATTTATATTTGATCGTTATAATCAAAATCAGGATTATAATTATTAATTTTCTAACATCTTGTGCATTTAACCTTGTATGTTGACATCGAGACTGAACCAATTTGCTTTGAAGAAATAATCGAGGATCCCAAGTGGATCAAAGCCATAAAAGAGGAGTTGTTGATAATCGATAATAATAAAACCTGATAATTAACTTATGTGCTAAAGAATCAAAGATAAGTAAATCAAAGTTACATTGATCAAAGAATAAAAAGGAAAAATAAAAGATGAAGTAAGAACTAAAGCAAGATTTTTTTTTTTCAAAACTTTTGAGTAATAAAAATTTGAAAAATTGAGAAAATACTTAAACATAAAATCATTTATTGAATTAGGGGATTATATTAGATAATAATTTAACAATCATATTAAAAAGAATATTTGTTAAAAGAAAAATTAAAAATAGATAAAATTTGTAATAAAATTAGAATGAATATCTTAATATTGAACAAAAAGACAAGTTTAATTTATTTAACATAACTTATTTTCACCCATTCTCAAAATTCATAATCTTCATTGTTAATTTCTATTCTAAATATATTTTTTTAACCATCTCATATACTATTACTTAATTTTATTTAATCACATTTTCAATTCAATTTTTTTATTTCTACACAGCGTATCAATTAATAAACATCTTGACTGTGTTTTAAATTAAATATTTTTGTTTCATAATCTCCTCATCAATTAAATATCTGATATTTCAAATTTATTCTTATTCAATACAATGATATTTTATTAATGAAAAAATATATATGTTGTTGTATTTTTTTCTGTATCTTTTGTATTTTTTTAAAACACATAATTATGTTTTGAGAAGAAACTGATTATATTTACATTTTTATGAATTTGTCCTTTTATTTCAAAATCCAAAATAAACGGAAAAATATGTATAATGTACATAAATTTTGTTAATGGACTTCTTTATAGAATGGAAAAACAATATGAAGTTCAATTGCTTCATTATAATTAATTGAATTGAAAGTCTTACTGTGTCTCTTTTTTCACTCGAAATAGTGGGCAAAATATAAGATTGATCAAGAATGAGGTGAGGAAATTTTATACTCTTGCATACGTTATATGTTTTGCATTGACAAAAATTTAACGAAATTAAAAAACAATGAATACAAATTTTAATTTAGTAGATGGAGTAGTTGTTAGTCAGAATCTATGACATGGTAATAGTAGTACTAAAGAAATCAGAAAACTTAGGCATCACATTTCAAGCGAGTTGACTCGAACGAGTTCTCCCTTACAAGGCTTATCATACTTTATTTATTTATTAGTATAGAGTATATTAATTTATATTATTTTTACTTATGAAAGAAAATTCGATCAAATACTGCAAATAACCTAATTACGCTATTTAATCAATTAATAATTATTTATGAAGACTACCCTCGAATGGAAAACGCGTTTGAAAAAACAAACGCGGTTTCTGAGGAATAAAGAAACATGGAAACGTAAGCATGACGCATTATAAATAAAAATGAACGAGGAAGCCAAACACTGTGTAAGTCACGTACATAGAAAAAACAACTGGTTGGTTTATCATGAAAACAATCAAAGTGGTTATAATAAATATTTTTAATCGTTAAATTTAGCATAACTTTCATTTTATCTTTGAAGATTGGATGAAAACTTTCATGGAATATTAACACTATTTATGAAATTGTATTTTAAAACAGTTATTCGAAATACGAGGCATTTTATTTTTAAATATATAAAGTATGACACCAAGAGAAGAAAACGGCACCAACGTAAGAATGACAAGCCTCACAGGGTAATGTCCTTAAACAAGAAGGTAAGGTGAAAAAGCTGAAAGGGTGGTGAATTAAGTGAAAAGTGCTTTAATCAGAAATTAAGAGGGTACTTTTGATATTTTGAATTGTAAAAAATAGTTGGAGTGTAGGGAATAAAAAGGGTTTGCAAATAAAAAAAACCCATATTTTTTTAATGCATTCATAAAATGGGCTTGAGTGGAAAACAATAGCATATGAAGGGCCCAAAACAACGAGAAAACATAAAAAAAAAAGAGAGAGAAAGAAGGTAGGATCCACGCGTTCGCGGGAAGCGTAAGGCGAAGAGAGAGATGACATCCACGGAGTGAGAATGCCTTATAAATGGTGTTCACGCCGCGCCGGTCGAAATTTGTCACCCAATCATCTTCTCACTTTCTCTTTATCACTCACTCGCCACTCTCTCTCTCTCCCTTTTTTTTTTCATTCAACCCAAAACCCTTCCCCAATCCCAATCCCAATCCCCTTCCCTCCTTCTTCTCCCCTTCCTAATTACCGTTATCACAATTTCTTCGATTCTAGGGTTAGGGATTTCCTCCACTTTTCATTCCACCTTTTTCCTTCCCTTAAACTGACTCTTCCTCGCTCCACTCCTTGCTGACGTGGGCGCACCGTCGCCGCTTCCCGCTCCATGGAGGCTACGGCCGCCGTTGCCGCTGCCGCCACTGCCGCCGCCGTGCGAGGCGCCTCGCTCCAGATGCCGCCACCGTCCCGCAAAGAGTGGCGCGCTGTCGCCGAGCATCACCATTCCTCACGGAACCCCGACGGCGAGGTACTTGTTTGGCGTGTAAACTTGTCTCATTCTGCGGTTCGGGAATCATGGGGAATGTGCGGTTTGCAAGTTTAATGTCTTACTATGTTAGCGATCAAGAGAACGAGATGATTCTTTTTTTTTTCGTCCAATTTTTAGTTTAGGTTTTACGACATTTGTTAGTTCTTACCTCACCAAATTAGGATTAGGGTTTAGTATTGTTGTTTAACGCGAGTCTGTTTTGTTCCTCGTATCGTTTTAGGCGTTCCTTGGTTTTTGATGTCTTGTTAAAGTAAACCTAAAAGCATATGAAGCATTTTTTTTTCGAGGTGAACAGACTTGAATCATTCAATTACGATTTAGTTGCTGACTTTTATCGGAAGGGCCGCTTAATCAAAGCTGTGAAAATTGAGCTCCAGAATATGGTAAACCTGGCGCCATGATGTAGTCTTATAAGTCAATGCTACTTACAATGTACTCTTTTGATGTTAATGTTTAAGGTTACGGCCTTAACTCTTGGTTTGATTAACAGAATTTTGATTTTTGGCGTCTAAGTATTCATTTTTTATTATCCATCTTTGTATAGATGGATGTGGCTCTTAAAAACCTTTTGTTTTTAGTTATTTGTTTGGTAAATAATGGACATCTGATAATGTACAGGAGTTAGACAATGCCAAACTAGGGCAATCAGACGAGAGAACCATATATGAGGTAAGGTGATGGATGCGAATGGCTTTTTAGTTTTAAGAAGTGAAGAACCTGAAGATGATTTTGTCCTGTTTTTCAAGGTGCAGCAAGGAAGAGAGCCTCTTGATGTTGATTTTTGTTCAATGACAGTGGATGGAACACTAGACAATGATATTTTGCAGCAGCAGCTTCATAATGTTGTTAGACAAAGACAGGAACTACTCCAAATGGAGATTGAACTAAAGGCTCAAATGATTGCTAGAACTGAGATAATGGACATGCGAAACACCTTTGATGCTCAGCTCAAGGACCATGTTAATAATGCCAACAAGCTTCAGGTGTAAATTCAGACATTTATGCGTATATGGACTCCTAAGTTGAACTGATTTATCCCCATCATGTGAAAGGAACAGGATTTTCTCATTTTTTATTAGAACTACACATTTTTAATTTTAGTTTTTCCCTTTTATCTGAAGCAGCTGTTTTTATTAATTATTATTAATAGCTAAATGGGACATTTTTATACTTGAAATATCTATTTTAATTTACATTATTTGTCTACTCTAAAACTTGTTTAAATGATTTTGCAGGAGCAACTTTGTGAGAGGGAGCGTACATTTCATGACCTTGAAAGGAAAATGGAAGAGAAAGACAGAGAGCTGCATGCTATTAAATTAGACAATGAAGCAGTCTGTTGAATCTCTACTGTCCTTTTCTTATTTTTAAGTTTTACTGGATGTTGATTTGGTGTATTTGTTATTAATTTATGCGTGCTAATCTATTCACTTATCATGTTAGGCATGGGCTAAACAAGACCTTCTCCGTGAGCAAAACAAAGAACTTGCAACATTCAGGTTTTTTCTATTGCCTTAATTATAGGATGTTTAAGTTTTGTTTTGGCCTTCTTTACATACACGGTTAATCATTTTTCAGGATGGAGCGTGATCATTCTGAAGCTGAAAGAGCTCAGCATATAAAACAGATACATGACCTGCAAGAACATATTCAAGAAAAAGATAGGCAGCTTATTGAGTTGCAGGAACAAGTATGGAGTCTTTATTTGCATAGTAATTGCTTTATAAGTATTTAATTTTAGGGTTTTGGTTTATTTGGCGTATAATGAGTTAATTCTGATTCTTTATTTCAGCATAGGGTTGCTCAAGAAACCATTATGTTTAAAGATGAGCAGTTAAGAGAGGCCCAAGCATGGATAGCTCGAGTTCGAGAGATGGATGTTTTCCAATCAACAACAAACCAAACATTACAAGCTGAATTAAGAGAGCGCACAGAGCAATACAATCAGCTGTGGATGGGTTTTCAGAGACAGGTTGACCTGCCAAACGTTTTTGGCTTCTGGGATTAAGTTTGTTTTGTTACACACAGGAGCGTTGTGTTTTGTGCCATCACTTTCAGTTGTGCCCAAATAGTTTATATTCACCAAGTAATTTATTTTTGTAATTTGTTATTGCCCCTTAATAGTGGATGTAAACTTTTGGTTTTAATTGCTTTAGTTTGCAGAGATGGAAAGAGTTCATTTGCATACTATTCAACAACTACAGCTTGAACTGGCTGATGCAAGAGAGAGGAGTGGAACTTACAATGATGATTCAAGAATGTCCCAAATCAATTCAAAAAATAATGCTACTCAGTTTGGACACGAAAATGGAAGTCAATTTGATTTAAATGGAAGCAATACTTCGGGTGGAAATAATGGTCTCCTTCCTAATGAAAACACTGATAATGGTGCACCATTTGCATCTACTGGAAATGCATCAATCCAGGTTGGGTGCTTTATTCATTGAAAGAACTTAGGGTAACATTGGATGTTTGTTGAGCCTGCCAACAAAACCCTTGTTGTCAGCATCCCATGTGTTCATTTATTACCATTTATGTTTGGTAATATTCTTGAATTGTGCTTGAGCTGCTAGAATAACCTTGAACGAAATTACCTATCTTGATAACTTTTAATGACAAGGGAAACCCTTATGTTTTATTAATATGTTCTTTTCAATCATGTCATGGTTTGCTAAGTTTAGTTTAGAAGCTATATTGTAATTTCTTTATTATATTTACCTATTTTAAAATTTAAATTAATTTGATTTGTGGGGTTAGAATTATTACTATTTTGGTTGTTGACTTGTTAACATTTTGTTATGTAATATATATTGGTTATTTGTGGGATGTCTTTAATCCTTAATATTTGAAATCTGTTGTCCATGATTATTCTCTGATTATTTAATTTGAGATATAAAAAAGTTTTTTGTTTAATTTTTTAGATTTTGGTATTTTTTTAATGCTACTGGATTTTGAGTATACTATTTGTTTTTCATATTTCGTGGCAACTTACTAGCTACAATTTAAGACTAAATCTGTACTAGAATGGTGATCTTGTTTTATTTGTCGAATCCAATCACCCCTTTTCATTTGTATTAGAGTTGGAGGTTGATGGTGTTTGTGAATGATATTGGATCACAGGAAAGAAAAGGAGTATGTTCTGCATTGTACTGTGTCAGTGACTTGATAATATTTTTGGCAAGACTTGGACACATCAATTGAGGAATAGGATAATGTGATGGTTACCAATATATTAGGCTGAAAGTTAATCTATTATTGAGTGATTTAGTTTGAAGAATTGATATTGATCTAATTCGTATATGTTAGTTGCCAAAGACACAGTTGTTGAGGAAGTAGAAGTGCTTGACTGTGAGTGCCTAATGCTTGAAAGTTATAAGATTTAATTGATTCCTGTAGTTGAATGTATCTGGTGTCCCATAAAATGAAATTAAGTTTATGAAACCAGTTTCTGCTCTATTTATATGAATATGATGTGATGTCACGACTGGATTATATAACTACTATCTTATCCCTTTTGTATATTTTTTGTTCTAGACTGAACATGTTCCTGGTGTCCCTATTAGTCCATCGTCTCTACTTGTCCAACCTTCATACCTCCCACATGGCCAAGTAACTGCATTACATCCATTTGTTATGCACCAACAAGGAGTGACCAGTTCTGTTGCATCACATGTTCCCCAATCGCATGTTGGACATTTTCATCCTGTGCCCTCAATGTCACCTGTGCAGCAATGGCAGAGTCAACAGGTATCGGAAAAATACTAATATTTAAGCTATATGCATTTCTATCTATATATCTGTAATAAAATTCTATCTTGTAATTGTTTCTTCAGTCTGTGTCTGAGGGTTCACAAGTACCCATACAGGAACATCCTTCACCATCTCAGACTGATCAGAATTTGATGCGATCAGAGGCTAAGTTTAGTTATGAAATGTCTGTTAATGGACAATCTCTTCATAGAGATTATCTGGATGGTCACATTAAGCAAGGCGAGGGGGCACAAACTGTGATTTCTTCAGTTACCACCGAAACCCAGGTTAATGATTGTTATTCACTTTTTATTTTATTTCCTCAAGACTTTGGTAGAGTACTGATTGATAATTGTTTGAATCTTTCTAAGGTTCTTCAGTCAGTTGATAAGGGTCAACATGTTGCTTCCCAACAAGATCAAAGCATGCAAAAAATTTCTTCACAGTTCTCTGATGCCTTAAGATTAAACTCTTTTGAACCAAATGGTGAAGTTAAGGTTTGTCCCAAGTTTCAGCTTTGGTTGCATGTGTGATCTTTTTGTTGTTTTGCAATGCTGCCAGGTTAGTTTGACTACTAATTTTGTATGTGATTTTTTTTGGTCGAATGATATTTGTTATACTAGGAATAGAAGTAATGCCTATTTTTTCTCCATTGTAATTGTTTGAAGATATCTATATATTTTAGTTGCATTTACCAGCTAAAAGCACCTAGTGGCTTCTAAGATATTGTTTTGAAAAGCTCAATGCAATAACATCCATTGATTTTAACCTACTAAAAAATTCGAATGTGGATACATTCGTCATTTTGAAGACAAACATTTTATAGGAGCTTGTTTTTCATGTGATAAGTTGTTTTTGAGATGTTTACCAATCACTTCATTTTTTTTAAGAGTGCTGAATAGAAAGCACTTTAAGAAAGGCTATCTGAAAACTGTCTCTGAACTGGCCCCACGGATGGCTGATAACATGAAAGCTATGATTTTCCCTTCTCCGAGACCAAAATGTGTCAGAGTGCTGAGTAGAAAGTGCTTAAGAAACCAGTCCAAAAATTGTCTTTGATCTGGTTCCTGTTATAGATGTTAAGATAAAAATGCCAACATTTTTTCCTTTATCCAGGAGCAGAATTCTGTGGCATTATCTAATGATGGACCTGATGACCAAGTTTTATTGACAGAGCAAGCAAGTTCTGCTGCAAGTGTATCCCCGGTGAAAAGCCAATCAGTTAATCATAATGAAATGATTCAGAACAATTCGACTGATTCTAACTTGTCTGAAGTGTTCACCTCTTCTGGGTCGACTACTTCAACAACAATTACAAAGGCATTAGAGACTGTTCTCCTTGATGAAAAATCATTATTAGCCTGTATTGTTCGTACTATTCCAGCTGGTGGTCGAATTCGAATTAGTTCAACGGTTAGTGAGCTTTGAATGTGAATATCACAAAAAAGAGATTGTTATTTCCTTGGCCAACCTAATGTAACTTGTGCAATGTTTCAAACACAGCTCCCTAACCGACTGGGCAAGATGCTTGCACCTCTACATTGGCATGATTACAAAAGGAAGTATGGGAAGCTGGATGATTTTGTGGCTAGCCATCCTGAAGTGAGTTTTTAAATTCTGTTTGAATGTCTGGACTTAAAATTTTACGGATACAATAAGATATATGATTAGACATTATTTTGTCGAAATTCAGCTAGATTAGAAGGATTTTTGGGTGACGAGATAATTTGATAGGAACCACTCATCAATTAAAATTCCAAGTAAACTCTTATTTTCAAAAGTTCTGGATATCAAATAACTTTTTTTGAATTATCTGTATGTATAAGTTCCTATCTTTTACTGATGATGGATTTTCATCAGAGCCTGAAGTTTTTCTTCCTTATAATATTTTCAGTTATTTTGTATTGAGGGTGACTATATTCAGCTTCGAGAAGGTGCACAGAAAATGGTTGCTGCAACTGCAGCAGTTGCCAAAGTTGCTGCAGCAGCTGCTGCATCAACTCCTTATTCTTCATATATATCCACTGTGGCAGTTACACCAATGGCTCAGTCTCATCGCATGAAAAAAGTTCCTTCAATTGATTCCAAAAATATCAAAAGTGACAAGACACTTCAAGAATATGCAGTCATCTCTTCAAATTTAGGGGATGATCCTCTGAAACTGTCAGTAATGCAGCATCAGCAATCTAATGGTGCATGCTTCAGTGTTGCTGGAGGTCTTTCAAATGTCAAAATTTTGAGTAAATCCAAGGATTCTCGGGAAACTGATGGCCCTGATAGTAGGGTTGTCCAGCCTTCTGTACAATTGTCTGTTGGCAATGGGGGCAGTGCCCAAATTTCTGGCTCAGCAAATGGGAGGCTAGTCTCAAGCTTTAGTTCTAAACAGCAGACCAGGTATAACTCTTATTACCGTAATATCTGTTACGATGTGGTTTGTCTATGATGATAAAAAAGTTGTACTGACTGTTGTTTTATGACAGGGCAACTGGTGCTGTGTACCCTTCTCGGAGATAGTGAGTCTTTTTTCTGGCACTTAAAAATTCTATTTACATTTCCTTTTAATTTCCATATACGTTTTAGATATGCCATTCTCTGCTTCGGCTTATTATGGTTGAATTAGTATTATTTATTTTTCTTTATTGCTCATTTATTTATGACTAGTTGGAATAAACTCCTGCGCATGTCCTCTCTTTTAGCCCCTCTAACCTGGGCGGCTACTGTTGCTCTTCCTTTTAAGTATTTGAAGATGTCCGCCAATTTACCAACTGTTGCTCTTCCATTTAAGTATTTGAATATGTCCGCCAATTTACCAAAGAATTAATTTCTTTTCAGTCCTTGTAACAAATATTAGTTTAGGGTTATTATTTATTTTGTAGATATGCATTTGTCTGCATCTATATGCAGAGATGCACAGGTGCAGGATTTTATTTCTACATCGAGAAATGGATTTTTAAATTACTCCTTGAGGGTGTTTGATTGTTACTTTTCATAGTGTATCATCGTTACATTCAAGTTTCCTTGCCCGAAACCAATATTAATAGTGTTTTTCAATTTATACTGTTCCGAAAATATAACATAATGTTTGCAGAATACGTGTTTAATATATTCCAAATAGTATATTACTAAGTATGCTCGAATGAGCAATGTTCCAGTTCCAATTCATTTCAATTACATGAATGTTGTGACTTGAGCTATGTAATACTGCGTTGCATGAATTCTTAATTACATTTACTGTTGAATTGGCAGGGAGCATTGATGGGCGTGTAGATTATCCTGTCTCACCAGGATGCGGACGAAAACATACAAGAGATATTTATGGGAGAATGTTTTTTGAAGCATTGACGGAGTAATCTTTTGCCCTGGCCAAATTATGATTTAAAGTTGCCGGTGCTATCTCCAGTTTCTGTAGTAATTTATTATTCTCCCTGCCGTTACAATTCAGTGTGCTTTCATTAATGTTGGCCTCTTGCTGTGTCATTCTTGCATACATTGCACTCATAACTGCCATTTTTTTGGTGAATGCTTGAAAGATTAATCAAACATAGTTAACCTTCTTTGTTTGTCCAACAACATAACTTTTTAATATATTTTATAAAAGTTTTATGAATATATAGACTTTTAAATATAATATTTTGTTGTAGTGTGATTAAGCTATTTTTACAGTGTATAAAATAGTTAAACAAATAATTTAAATATTTTGTAATTCATTATAATGTGATCATTCTATTTATTTATTTAAATTTAAATGTTTTTATAAATACATTTTTATAATTAAATTTATAATTATACAACAATATATATTATTAGAAACCATGATATTTTATTTAAAAAAATTAATTTATTAATAATGAGTAATTTTATAATGACATAAAAGTTATAATTTATTTATTATTTTTATCTGAATATTCTTCATTATATTATTCTTTTAAAGTATATTTTTATTAGTTTATTTTATTGTATTTTTTCATATATTTTTCTTCACCAAATTTTCGCAAATTAAAGTCATAGTCTTCGAAAAAGGTGAATATAATAATGTTCTAATGTGGAATTTCTTAAACTTTTTTTCGGGTATGATTGATTGGGAAAATTCCAACTTTATTTGTATTTATTAAATAATAATAAATTATCTAATAAGAAATATAAGGCAAAATTTAATGTTTTTTTATAGTTATTTTTAAATGATAACGAATACAGTAACAAATATGTGACCAAGGATTGGTTCTTTCTTTATCTATTTATTCATTCTCGACTGTTTTTTTTTTCAAAAAAACCACCCCTCTAACACCAATGAAAAATGGTTTTTTTTTTTAATAAATTTGTCTAACCGATATACGTGTGTGTGTGTGTGTGAATACGTTAAAATGTTCACATTATTTGTATAATTTTTTAATTTAATTTTTTTTCTTACATATTTATTATTTTTTAAATATATAATTTATAGTAACTATTGTTTCTTTAAATTATTATTTTTTTCTTTACTAAAGAATCTCATAATATGTAATATTAATACAATGGAATAAATAATGAGAAAGTAAAATTCGATTATAATTAATTTAAAATGGCTGTTAAGAGATATTTTATTCAAATTAGAGTGGTTACAAAAAGAATATGTTAGAAAGATGTTTAGTCCATGAATTTGGAATTTGATGTCATCGTCGTCAATGAACGACGTTAATCGCCAAATTTGAAAATATTTTAAAAATTATTTTTCTTACCATGTTAACTTGTATATGATCGTTCTTGTTACCAAACATAAACTCAAATTATTATCTTTAATACGCATCCTAATTGATAACTAAAGTATCTTCGTAATATATTATACACTTGCAAATTCAATGGACTTTTTTCAACCAGTCAAATAACACTTTAAGATCTTGTTTGATTTTCTCTATTTATCGTTTTCTCCAACTTTAGATCTTACTTAACCATTAAGTCTAGATTCGCTATACGCGATAACAAAAATCATCAGATTGTTATGTAAGGACGGGGAATACAAACATCATGGTGATTGATGCTCTCTATCTGATGTCTTCTGTGAGATTCTACCCTACACTTTCATTCTTTTACCGTTCCAGCATTATACAAAGTTAGAAACACAATGAACAGGAAGCGCAACATTTTCTCAAAAGCTTACAAAATAGGTTTTAAAATCGATTCATTGTTTATGCTGAGTATTACTTGAGTTCTAAACCTTTTCAATTCCATAAAGACAAAGGTAGTGGTCTAAAGCAATGTTTATTTGGGAAAACTAATCCATGTATGTTTAAATATTATTTATACACTGAACGTTTTTACTTATTATGTTGCTCCGTTACAATTAATGATGATAGTTCTATCTTGATGATAGAACTAACTTGAACAACATTTCACATTCAATACCATATTTCATTTTATTGAATTCAAGAACTAAAATAATAACATTTGTATCCATACATGTTTTCTTAGAGGTAGCCAAACATGCTTAAATACATAGATATTCGATTATTGGGGTATCCACATTTGACATTAAAATTCCAACCTCGAAATAGATGTTAATTTTAACACAAAGGTATTTAATATTAGTAATTTGTAAATAGAAAAAAATTATGTAATGAAGACATTTTTCAAGTTTTCCTTCATGTATTCCTTTCTCTTTTTTATTATAAATAAAGATTGAATTAGCAAGCACACGGATATCCTGTTTTACACACCAAATAATTGACAGTAATCTTCCCTGAAAATTAATTTCCTAGAATTGAATCATCAATGGAAAAAGCATGCCTACATATTAACATTTTGGTTGGAAAAGAAACACCAACGATGTGAAAAAAAAAAAAATAGCAGTTAATTTAACGAAAGATAAAATGCATTTTTGGTTTTTATATGAATTGTTCAATATGACAGTGACTGTTTGTAAATGACTAAAACTATGTAGAAACAAATGTTCTTGGGGTTGTGTTCCCAGTATTTCACCAGCAGGTCCAGACAGTGATTTCCCTAAGACCAGCCAGGACCAGAATCTGAGCCAGTTTGGTTGCTTGATGGTGTATCTGGAAGATTACCAAGTCTGGTTTGAGATGCCTGATATATGCCACTATTAGCACCAGGAAAGCTAACCATTGGTCCAGGGATAGGTTGTTGCTGGTAGAAGAAAAGTGGCAACTTATAGTTTTGCTCATTCATCTGCAAGGGCAATTTTGATGTAGAGATATCAGGTTGATGTAGAGACATTGCCAGATGCTGCTGCTGCTGCTGCTGCAGCTGTTGCTGATCATTCATTTCAAAGGGCAAGTTCAATGTAGATAGATCTGGTTGTGGATGAGACATTGCAACTTGGGGTTGCTGCATGCCTTGCCCCAGTTGCATAATAGTCTGGGACGAGACCTGCACAGTCTTCACATGTCAGGAAAAATTATAAAAACCTTGAGGACTAGATAATGATGACTGTAACAACCTGAGAAGGAGCCGGTGCCTGAGACCCAGCGTCAGCAAGTTTGGCCAGGAAAGTCAAGTTATGCTGAAGCTTAGCTTGACATCTGTATCAGGATATCCAGGCAATGTTCATAAGCCAGTGCACCAGTTATATTGTTAATAACATAAATATGTAAAAAACCACAGAAAAGAATTTAGAAGGCAACAGCAAAGATAGTAGATGTACTTTCGAGAGAGACAAAATCAAATACAATACCATCTTAGAATCACTCCCAACATTCAACAAATTAAGAAAAAAGATAAATTTGAGACCATATTATGTAATTCTCAATTTATGATATGAATTTATAATATACTTTATCATAGTAAAAGAATACGAGAATCTTGACCATTTACTGCCATTTTTTATTCATTAAACAACTGAGATACAAAATGTTATGTTTCAATCATTTGGAAATCAGATCATGGTATATGATTATCAAGAAATACATAGAAATAATGAAAGAAAATCCAGTCCTAATTACTTATTAAGCTCATTTGTGTTTTTTCTAAGTCCTTCCTTTGGATATCCATTATGCAAGGCCTTACCAGATGCAGACATGAGACATGCATTCCATTTGCTCATGTTTCACAGCTTATGCTACTCAAAGCACCCCAGTTTAAGATATTTACTGGATAACTTCAAAATTAGCAGTTGTTTGGATTTCGACTATTTTAATTTTCATGTGATTTCTTTATTTTTCATAGTCCTCTCTCTCTCTAACCCAACATATTTAACCAGATGGAACCAAGTATCTGCGTCACTGCATGAATTGATAAGGAACAAAGAAAGCATGATCCAAACAGGAAAAAAAAAATTGTAATTCTACATTCACCCATTCTGTAACCAAAGTGTATTATCTGGAGTTATTATAACTATATTATTGCATATCATGAATATGGCGATTTTCGCCATATAGCAGAAAGTGTCATGAACAAATTGTATAAGTCTCCTAACAGTTGAAATATATTATACATATCAATTATATATGTAAAAAAAAAAAATTAGTATGCAAATCAAAGGTAAAATGTATGACTTCTGCAAAGCACAACACTGTAGCGCTGTTAAATAGTCATTTAATAACACCGTATTATACAATTCAATGCTGGCTACATATTTTAAAACAGATAATTTACATACTTTTTTCCATATTATTCCTGTTTAAATCTTGAATAAGTTCCACTTCACTAGATTATGAGCTGTTGTTATGTAATTAAAGGAGTATAATTTGGAGGTCCTAGCTTTTCAAAGGTAAGCATAACTTATAATTTGTCAAATGAGATACAGTTTCACTAATGCAAATAATAGTGATCATAGAAAATGAAATACAGTTTTCACGTGTAGAAAAGCTAAACAGGGTTTATGTGTTTATGTGAAGTAGAAGGATTCCATACTAACTGTCACATAGGACTAAATGCTTTGCAAGAGGAAAGACTGTAAAGGAAAAAAAAAATGCGACTGACATCACTTGGTATACCAAGAAGCAACCACAAACCAACAAATATAAATGCAAGTTAAATAGTTTTGGCTACAAACTGTGCTATTTCAGCAAACTTGCCCAGGTTTTGATATTCCAATATTGCTAAGATCAGCTCCTTATTCTCCTCCAAGTACTGCACCAAGCATAAGAATTTGTGTATATGAGATAAATTGCGATATATACTCTAGTGATCATGGCTAAAATTAAAGGTCCAAACCAAGCATTTTTACCCAAATTGGTTCACTCATATAACTTCTGAACAAAATACACATTCACACACCAAAATGCACTATGCATATCTAATACACCTCCACACACCCTATATTTCCTTGCAAGAATTCATGCCCCCATGTTATGTTCCCAAAGAGGAATATACATGGCATGAATGAATTCCATATAACAAGATTAAAGAGGCACAGAAACGACATTTCCTACGGAAGAAACGCACAGTTAAGTTTGTCACGTTCATTCGATTCAACAGAGCCAAAAAAATTAACGAAAGGTGAAAACCAGATCAATAACTTAGGGCACAAGGAAAAACAAAGTGTAGAGCCCCAAACACATTTTGTGCCATTAACTAGGCATGAATTGGACAAGCAAAAAGCACAACATCAAAAGGTGACATTTTTATGAAACCCCAACACAAACATAGGCGCAGAGATAATCTAGACGGTTAAAACAAAGCAATGTGAGAACGGTAATGAAACAAAAAAATAAGTGAAGAAAAAAAAGTTGTCACCTTTTGAATCTGTTCAGTGGTGAGGGTAGAGACATTAAGCAATGAAGGATCAGCATTCAACATTTTGTTGTTTCGTCTTCACAATAAGAGACCAAAAACCAGAATCCAAAACAAAACCCTAGCCCTTTCTCTTCCCCACAAATCACTCTTCAAAGTTCAAATGTGCAGTGTTCGCTGCTCTTTTTTGCTTTGTTTTAAAATATAAGCTACTGTTCACTTTTCATGCATTTTGGTTTTTAGTAAATAATAATAAATCTCATTTATTATTTTCAGTCACTTTTCTTTATATTCCACACCTGTTTTTTATTTATTTTATTCTTACATCTTATTTAAAATTTAAATTTTAAAAACCATCAATATATTCTTTAAAAAAGCATCACCTGTCTCTCCCACACACGATTCTCTCTCTATATATAAGTTGTTCTTAATGTTTACAACAAAAAATCTATGTATTTTGAAAATATTTATCATATTTTTAGAACTATTTATAAATTACAATAATGTAATAAATTATTTTTATCTGATGTATATTTTTGTTTAATTTAAATATTTTATTATTATTTTTGTGAACAGATTATTTTCTTACAAGTATATCCTTAAGTTAAACAAATGAAATAATGTAACATGTGGTTAAGTTTTTCGGTAAAAGACATATAAATTGGTTATTTTTTCGTTTTACTTGGAAAATAAGGGTAAATAAAATTAATTTTATAAAGAGCATGATTAATTTTGAAAGGAGAAAATTCTTTTATATTATGCAAAATAAATTTTAGATATAAAATTCATAAAGTTATTGCACTCTACATTTAAAAAATATTTGTCTTTTAAAATAAAAAAATTGTTAATGATTTATTTTTAAATTATTATTCTTGAATAGAAAATTATTATAACTTCACTTTTTTTAAAGTCATTTTTGTTTTTCTATCCAGAACATAATTATATTGTTATCAAGCTTTTGAAAGGAAAAATAATATTAGTTATAAAAGTATCTGTAATAGAAATTTGCTTCTTATCCTAAAAGAAATATAAAATACAATATCATATTATTTTCAAGGAATTTAATATTAATTTTACTCTATTATAAATTTTAAAAAATTCATTTTCTTCTTATTTTATTTACTTTTTTTAAATTGTTTTATAAAATAATTAAAAATATTTAAATAACTTATTATATCGTAAATTTATTTTAATAAAAAAATATTTCAAATAATTAATATTTTCTTTAAATATATCAATAAAAAATATCGATGAGAGTATATATAATGAATAAAAATCATTATATGTGTATAAACAGTGGATATATAATTATATAATGAAAGTAGTCACTACCAAAACGTAAAAAGTGAACCAATTTGTTAATTTGAAGAATAAATTTTCAATGAACTATTCACCAATTATTCCTGATTTTGCAATGAATTATTCACCAGTTATGCGCAGGGAAATTTACTAGAAAGATGAAGCTAATTTAATGCAAGCTTAAAAAAGGCGAAGGAGCCTTTAATTGTAATAAATATAACGCCCTCCCTCTTTGCTCCAAGAAAAAAGATTGGGAGTATCAATGCAAAAGTGGCTCACACTTCTAAGTGGACAAAGTTATGACTAATAAATGTTTACAAAGTTCATATCGTATGAGATGAGTCCAACAAAAAAATGAAAGAATTTTTTTCTAAGTCAAATAATACTTACCTCTTCCAAATGTTGTTCCCAAATATCTTTTATATTTTTTATCTGTATTTTTTTTACTCTATATTTCAAAATATTTTAATTATGTTTTGTTTATTATATATTGTATTTATAATTAATATATGTGATTTAAATTAATAAAAACAGGAGATAAAGGACTTAAACTAGAACATACTATTACTAAAATAAATAAATAAATATTTAATATGTGTTTGAGAAAATTGTGACAGCTAAATTAGAATAAATAGATTATAATTGATTTTATAATTATATTTATTTATATTACTGTATATGAATATTCTATATATTTACATATTTTTTATAGGATAATAACGAGGCATGACCAGTCTTATTTTGATCTGGTTCACATTTGACCTACAAAAATTAGTGTAGGATGGATTGATCCATATTAAGTTTGGGAGTTGAATACTTTGATTATGATTTATATACGTGTGGGTTGGTAATAATAATAAAAAAAAATACACATTATATAAGTGATATATTATTTGTTATATTGTCTATCCAAAAAATTAATTAAAATAAAAACAAAATAAATTATAATAATAATTTTTCTTACAAAGAAAATTTAATTATCATAAATTTTAATTTTCTTTTTGTTTCTATGTTATTAATTTAGTCTTTTAATTTTATAATTTATTTATTTAATTTATATTTGTTTTAAATAATCAAGTGTGAGATTATTTTTATGGACACAAATGAGATTTTTTACATTATCTTTTTTCTCGTTGGATCACAAAATAATTTACTTAAAAAAAGTATTGACATTTTTGTAAATAATAACTAGAGTTTCTACATTGAACCTCACTAGCATTAATGTAAAAGTTATATTTTATATATGGTCTCCCTTTAGAGGTAGACTGGATCCGGGTAATAGTTGATAAATTTCATAATGATGATGTTTTAGTGCCTTTGTCCAATGGATAGATTTAACCAATGGGACACACAAGCTACACATTATTGACTTGACAAAGATATTTGGTGATATCACTCTTAGCATGGGCAACGATAATATATATATTGTGTATTTTCTCTTCTTTTTATTCTTATAATTATATGAATGTTTAATAATTTTTATAATTTATTTAGGAGTTTATTTATCGTAATAAGCATAAGAGAACTTGTTATTGATGAAAACATTACGGAATTTGAGGATGATTTTATATCTATACTTTTGATCATATTATCACTTGTTGAGGAAGAGACTGTCTCGAGATACGGTGGGACACAAAGGTATTTGGAGTTGACAATTTTGTTGTTCAACTATACATTTTCTTACCCGACCATTAGAAATTGCTGAAGAAAATTGTATGTTAAACATTTTCACTATATAGTTGTGGGTCATATAAGTAATTTTCATTTATGTTTCTAACATTATAATAATTATATTTAATTTATAACTCATTGTGTTAGGTACCTTGACAAATTGAGTGTGAAGAAAAAAACATTTTGAACTATATGGATTTATCAAGTCTCAATCCATCCAAAAATTTGGGAACACGAAAATCAAAATTCATCAATATATGTAGATGAATGACTCACAAAAACATATATATTTGACTTCATATATTGAAGGGTTAGTATTTTAATTTGTATTTTTTAATCATGTTAATTTTATACTTATTTTTTATATTATATAATGTAAGTACTATTGTGAGTTAATTGTAATCATTCTCAACGATTACACCATGGTGTGATTTTGTTCATTACATAAAAAAACAAGTCAAGAAATGAAAAACTTATTATAAAGGTAACTTTATCTCTCTTTTTTCATTATGTTGTAAAAGTGTAAATATATATTGAATAATATCTGACTTTAATTGAATTAGAATCGCATTGGAACTAATGTTCTAAGTGGAAAACCTATAACATAAAATTTGCACTTCATTTGTCCTAAGATTATAAACTTATTTATGTAAACATCATAATTATTATACGTATTTAAATTTAAAAAATAACATTGTGTTTTGTTTCTCATTTCGAGTATAATAAAAAGTAAAAAAACTCATTTGAATGTGACTACTACATCATGTATTGGATATAAGAGTCATAGTTTGTGCGGGTATAACTGATTTTTGAACGGAGGTAATTCCTTTTAATATTTATTAAGTTGATTTACCTTTATACGTATTGCATGTTAACGATAGTCAAATTAATGTTTTAGGTTTTTCAAGATCCATCTCTATTATTCACTACAAGAAAATCTTATATTACCGACGGATATTTACTGACGGATATGTATTCATCGGAAAATAAGTGATTACCAATGGAAATTACCGACAGATTTAGAGTAGTTGTGGAATTTGGTCTTACCGACGGATATATCTGTCGGTAAATGAACAATTAATTACCAATGGATATATCCATCGATAAATCTATCGATAAATGAATAATTAATTACAGACTGATTTATCGATGAATTTAAAATATATTTTTAAAAATTAATATTAAATTAAAAAATTAAATATTTAAAATTATATAATAATTACTTAATTTTAAATATATTCTAATAAACACGACACACATTTTCACGATCGAGCGCATCCTCACATCCAACATATAAATATATAACTATATAAATATATATAAATATATCAAAATATATAAATATATTTGTATTTATATATTTTATATTTATATATTTATATATTTATATGGATACACATTTATTTGTATATAAATATAATTTATTTATAAATTATTATTAGAAAAACTTAGTAATCTAGTGGTTGGAGTATCGACCTTCAACTTTAAGGTATTGAGTTAATAAATAAAAATGTGTCCTATTTATCGACGAATTTTCTTAGTTACTGACAGATTTTGTCCGTCGGAAAATCTATTTTTTCTTGTAGTGATTAAACAATGATATTACATAAGAGTATAATGAACAAGGTTTTTCGTTCAAAATTTTTAGTAATTAATTTATAGGTTATTGTTTGTATTATATTGTATTGTATTATGTAGTTTAACATTCAAGTAAGTTAGTTTTTGTACTAGTTCAACTTATAATTTATGTCGGGTATTAATACACGACGTAAATTTCATCTTTTTTATTTTTAATTTTTAAAACTCATTCATGTTTGTTTTTTATTTTTTATTTTTTATGTAAATTAATGTCGATTGTCGATATAACTGATATAAATTGACACTAGTTATTATGTTCGATATAAACTTACATTTTCTAAATTAATAATATTAGATTTATCTTTAACGTAAAAAAAAACTAAAATAATAAACATAGAAATACTAATAAAAGACTACAATATTTGCACTAAAACAATAAACCGAAATCTTATTATTATTAATAGTAACCTAAAATTAATTAATAATGGTATTGTAGATGAATCTGAACAATATAAATA